GGTGTGGTTGTTGTTGGTACTGGTATGACAGCTGGTGTTGCTCTAATGTTGGGTGTGACCTATGTTGCCACGGTAATCCAATCTGTGGAGGCATCAGATTGTTGAATTCTCCTCTAGTATTTATCTCCTTTTTCTTCTCCTCTGCCTCAGACATATGTTGTTTGATGGTGTAGAAGGCCTCATCATCATTCTTGGATAACACCTCTAGGTTTAGGGTGGAGACAACTCTATGAGGGCGGGGCAGGAGGGACAGTGGGATGAGGTAAGGATTAAGGGAGGTGGGAAGGGAGAAAGACTTGACAAGTGGGGCTCTTCGAGTCATTCCCTTTGTCCTGCTCTTATCTTCCTCGCTCAATTCAGGTTCAGCAGCATCTCCAGCCCCCGGAAAGGGATTCTCTGTTTCAGGCTTCTCAAGTATTTCTGATAAAGCCTCCGGAGAGCAGCTGCTGCTGGAGCTAGACTCTGCCTCTGACTCCCAGTCCTCGTCGGGTCCAGAGTCTTCGGCTGAAGAGCTGGACTCGCCATGGTCCACCCACTGATGCGTCTGCCGGTAGCAGGCGGAACAGCGAGACAGATTGAGGAATGCAGGGCCTGAGCTGACCTGAAGAGAGGGAGACGGGAGTTATTCAGTTAGTTGTTAAGAGTCATTTATCTAGTAAATGATAAATGGCTTTTTTTTCTCAGGTTGAACTTGAGTTTGGCATGCTGAGCTGCATCAAGTCCTCAAGCTAAAACAACAGAATATTGCAGGTCATTTGTCAGAACCTTAAAGCAGCTACAAATAACTTTTTTTGTTGATTCTGACAGTGTAGGTCATACACACCCATCAGTATTACATTTATTTAATAACCAGTTAAAAACTCATTGTCGTAGATTTAAAAATTACTTGCATTAACATTTTCTGATCTGCCACCATTTGCCACAGTTTATAGGCTAATTAAAGATTGTGGTCATAGTTTAGTTGAGAGAAATATTGTTTTAAGGGTAAAATGGCTGTCTGCAGAGGCAGGAGGTCAGGGTAGACGGGTGGGTCAAAACAACACTGTTTGTTTCCTGCTTCCTACTGACAGTCAACATTGGTTTCCTTGAACCATGACCATGGTCGTTCCCTGACTATATTCAAGTGGTTATTGTCATGAGGACGAAGATCCCCTTACCAGCTGCAATTTAAACACAAACCACAATATTTCTCTCAACCTAACCAAACCTTAAGAGGAGTTGATTCAGCGATATATACAGTAAGTTGCGCTTATTCTCCAGCCAGGGGCCATTAAACCATTGTAAAAGAAAAGTGCGCAATCTGATGTTTTTGACGCAGACATGTTTTGTCTCCTCGGTGGATGTTCAAGTCACATGACATGCTTCGTGTACATCATGATTTTTTCATCAAGTCTGTTTCCATTGCACTTCCATTGCTGAATTTTGCTTTTATTGATATGCCAACTTTTAATCCTCAAGCCAATCATAAAAACCCAACCAAGAGTTTCCTTTCTGAGCTGCTTTGGAGGGATAGTAACAGAAACAGAGAATTCATAAAACTGTAACTTTGGAAAATACCCAGGTTGTCATATAAAGCATAGCTACCTTTGGTTGGTTTGGAGTGTCTGCACACTGGTCCTCAGTGGAGGCTCCAGAGGATGACTGAAGTCCTCTGGACTGGTCTATACAGATTAAACAACAGGGAAGGGTTTTTTAAAAAAAAGCATAGAGTGACAGAAGCAGTTAGAGGAGGAAGACTGAAACAGAAACTGAGGATCACAAAGACGTGAAAATTTAAATTTGAATCCATACAAACTTACTATCACTTATGAGTCCTTCACTCATTGTTCCACCTTATTCGCTGCATTCATTCATCCCTTTAAAAACCCTGTTGGCAAGAAAACAATATGATTTCCAGTTAAAATATTTATTTCTCAATTAGCTCTTCAGTTTACTGCAGGTTCAAAAATATATAGTAAGTTAGTGAACTAGTAAAGACACCAGCTATTAATAATGTTGTTCAGACATTTCCGTGGGTTTAAAATGGAGTCTGTGGAGCATATGAATGAATGTCAGACTCCACTGTAGTTGTGGAGGAACTATTCGGATCCATTACTTAAGTGAAAGTACAAATACCACACTGTGAAAAAACTACTGTTAAATTCATTGCAACTGCATTGAAAATGTCAGCTAAATTAAAAGTATGCATTAGTATCATCAGTAAATCATCTTAAACTATTAAAAGTAAAAGTATGTAGTATTATATTATTAGATTAATATTACTCGTGCATTCATGTAAAAGTAGGTCTCACTGTTGTAGTTGAAGCTTATTTTGAACTATTTTGTATACCACTGCAACCAATAATTATTTTCATTATGAAATCATCTTAATCCTCCATTAATGAATTGATGGTTTGGTTTGTAAAAAGTCTGAAAATAGTGAGAAATGCCATCACAATTACTCAGAGCCCAAAATGACACCTTCACAATGCTTTTATCCAACAAAGAGTTCAACAATTACTAAAAATAAAAAAAAATAAAAAACTTTAAATACTTAAAAGAAAACTAAAACTAAATATTCACATTTGGGAAGCTGGAACCATAAAATGTTTTACATGAAACATTACTTTTAAAATAAGTTGCCAGTCAATCGCCTAATAGATTAATCAACTGATCCTTTGTAATGTTATAAACAGTATATTAGTTTATATAAAAGCAGCACATTTTATAAACTCTTCATAGTTTTCTTTGCAAAAACCTGAATTTTCAAAGTAAACACTGGTAAAAAAATATATATACATAATACAATATGTCCTTCTGAAATGAGTAGAAGTATGAAGTAGCACTAAAAGAAAAAACTCAAGAAAAGTACCTGAAATGTACAGCACTTACCCATTCTTGTACTTTCACTCCTCTTCGGGTCCAGGAGGCAGGATGACTGTTGTGACGGTTGTGTGGACAGCTGGGTCACGTACCTGCATTTGTTCATGTAAATGAGCGTTTACACCCAGGTGAGCGTGTGTGTCTTCTTTGCATCTGTTGTTGTGAGAGTACACACAATTAATTCAACAACGTCTAAGACATAAAAAGGCCCACAGATAAGACACACACACACACACCCTCTGTAAATACACAGCAGGATCGTCCTCCAGGCTGCTCCAGTCTTCCAAAAAACGAAACCCTCTCTGGCACTGACCACCAGTGCTCTTTGATTTATTCTACTGTTACATTTTCATATCTACTGACAGTGTTACGCTGTGTGTAAGGGGTTTATAAGCTTGAATAAACAATGAGAAACAACATTAAATTCACTTCAGTTTAAAATATTTTTTATTTAGACAATGAAAAGTCGGATACAACCACACACGTTACTTCGTGCAGAGACACTTAAGGCATGAAAATCTCTCCATTGGTTTGTCCAAAAACTGGACAGACTGTCGTTAAAAAACGCAGAATAAAGAAAATATGATTCAGTCGTAGTTCAGCAGTTTAATTCAGGTTTTTCCCCCTTCATCCTCTAAACAAGAAACAGAGATATTTGTGTTGACCAAAGCCTTAAAGGAATAGTTTCACATTTTGGCAAATTATCCACTTCCTTAGATGAGAAGATTAATACCACTGTAAATATTAACCTAGAGCCAGGAGGCGGTTAGCTTAGCTTAGCTTAGCTTAGCTTAGCATGAAGACTAGAAACAAAGGGAAACAGCTAGCCTAACTCTGTCCAAAGGTTACAAAATCCAAAGTTCACTAACTAACACATTATATTTCGTTTATTTAATCCATACAAAAAAACATACAGATTACCTTTTAAATACCAGACAAATATAAGAGTGGGATCAATCTTCTAACTCAAAGACTAACTAAGAGAATAGGCATGATTCCCAAAATGTTGTCCTTTAAAGAGACCGTCTGTCCAATATGAATTCATAATGAAGGCCGTTAAAACTGCCAAAACACACCAGAAAACATTCACAAACTTGAGCTTTTGTATATTTTCTTTTTTATATATATATTCTTTGATAACCCTTTTTTGTTTAACAATTAATTTGGAACAGTTTTAACTGCTTTTCAAGCTCCTGCAGGTGCTTTAAATCCATCTCATGTTTCAATCATGAATAAAATAACCTGATAGGCAACAGGAATATAAATCATAATTTAAAGATAAAATATAGAACTACCATGCTGTTATAAATAATTATAAAATCACAATTTATTTGACATCAGAAGCTGAACGTGGAGCCAACATGCGTGGGAAATGAAAAACTGCAGTGGCTAAACTGTCTGATGACAGACTGAACTCTCTCTGGAAACAACCGGCGGCCTCTGGAGCAACATCCTCACAGTATTTAGAGAAAGTGAAGGGAAGTTCAAGAAAACGCAGGAAGATAAACAGTTACCTAACAAATACTGAACACACATTTTGGTAAAGGTAACACAAGAAGGAAGTCCTGTATGTTTACATAATGTTACATATAAGGCTGCTGAAGCTCCAAAACATCCTTTCAAAATAAAAAATTAGAGACTGACTAGAAACAAAAATAGTTCTTTTGTTTAAAACATTAATATCAGTTTCACAATCATCATCACTGTTATCCACCACAGTACCTTTGTCACTGGAATCCTTTTTTCAGAGCACTAACATTCAAAAAAGGACATTGTTTTTAACTCTAAAGTGCAAAAAACAACCACACCTATACACTGTATGTTGGGGAGAGTTACTGTACGTGTTTGGTGCAACTGAATTTATTTTAGGCTGTCTAATCTCTGACGGTGAAGTGAAAATACCTGATTGGTGGAGAGATTGAAGCAGCTGTGGTCAGCCTGTTTACACATAATTCCCCAAGCCAAGAAAACATCAGAATATTAAAGTGTGTAAATACAAATTCACGCTAGCAAACGTGTTTTTGTCCAAAGCTGACATTTGTGAAGGAGTGAACTGTCCCCTAAGCTGCTGCCACACACTACGATGGGTTTACAGTAGAAAGTATACCACAGGACCTCTCTCTCCATAAGGGAACGAATCAGGAGTTTCTTGTAGTTTCCCGTCAGTTCAGCCTTCTACCAGGAAACTCCGTATTCGTCACTGGGCATGATTGTTTACCTCACGATTGTTTGTGTTCAGATGACGTCTTTTGCATGCGTTCGAACACCACGCCGTGTCACAAGACAACAGTGTGCGGGATTAGGAGGTCATTTAGGCAGGATATTAGATTCACAACTTTTAGCCGACACCTTGGATCCGTGAGCTAACTGTTCTCCCTCCACCAGGTTTATCATTTTTTACCTGAAGACTGATTTGTCTTATGGCAACCCAAGAAAATGACATACTCCTACATGTTTTTATTTTAGAGGTGAATGCTGATTAATCCCCTTTTGACAAGGTTCTGTTGTTTGCTTTGGCAGAGGAGAGTGCAGCTACAGCTCAGCCTGACGGAGAAAGACTACCATGTGCACAAAAGGCATCATCTGAACTCCCTGCTGAACTTCAATCCTCGTCCCAGTTCATTCATTTAAGCACTTATCTACGGCTGCAAATAGGTGAAACGCCATCAAAGAAAGGAAACGTTCTCAACAAACACATGCTTTAAAACTCAACAAGTCTGTGAGTATGTTTCCTAATGTTGTTAAGTGTTTAGTCTATTTGTGTTCTATTAAGTGGCTGTGTGCTCAGCTTTCACGGTCACCGTACTTGTTTTTGTTTTTTTCGGGGTCACGTTTGGCTGGAATTCATCGCCAAAAAGGCAAGAAAACACTCAAGAAATACAAACATTAAAAGGCAGTAACTTGCACATTCACACCCATCGGTAGTTTAGAGACTTCACCAGGGGTCTCATTTAGAAAAATGTTCTTAGCTTTATACTTCAACTTAAGAGTATTTCCAACTGTGTGCTTACGTTCCATTCACAAGACACTGAGCATAAAAAACCTTGCTTATGCAGGTTCTACGAAGCGCATTTGTAACAACCACACCTGTGATCTATAAATCTCAAAGTAACTTTAAAGCGACGGCACCAGCCTTAGCGATCTCCCCCTTATATAACGCTTACACATATGAGGGTTTAGTGAGGAACAGCCGGGGCTTTCTGATTTGACACACTATTTATAGAACAGCGCATACTGTTTTTATTTCAAAACACTTTGCGTCTGGCAATGAACTCCTCACCCCTTTAAGGGATCATCCTATCACATGGTTCAAAAAGCGAATGGAAAGTTGACCACAGGCTCGGGTGCATTTACATCCCAAACTGCAATACCCTCACATGAGCAGCAGGAAAATCATTTGCGTCATGTCTAGACTTTGCTTAGAGATGACACCGTTTCAACGTCAGAGTAAGTTATTTATGAAGGTGTTTTTCTGCGTGAGTCATACTTAAGATCCATATTGATCATAAGTGAATTTTATAAATGAGGCCCCTGATCACGCAGCAGAAACAAACAGGAGGAGAAGGTGCAAACTCCTCCAGCAAAGAGCTGCAGCTCAAACTGGAGTGTTGTCTTTCTCCTCATCCCAGTTGTTCTGGCTGAGCATAACCAGCTGAACTGTGGAGACGAAGCTTTACTAGAAAACAGACTGACAGCACATTTAATGTAGATCATTACGTTTGTGCAAACTTTGGCATCTGAAGACCCAAGCTCCTCTCCTCTCTGTGTTTCTGTACTCTAACAGAGATAATTGGCTCCAGGAACCTGCAGGGACGCTGTTTGTCACTCTGGTTTCATCCTCAGCTATATCAGCCCACTACGAGACGAGAAGCTGGCAGGAAGAGGGACGGAGTTCTTCTTTTTTACCTTTGCTTTCAGCAGGCAAGCACAATTACGGAGGCCTGGAAGCAGAGTGTAGAAGATGCTTGGGAAGTCTCAAAGGAAAGTTCTTGAGTGAGTGGAAAAGGCAGAAAAAACGCAAAGAGATGATTTCCTTTCATGGTTGCAGAATTTGAGTTGAAATTCAACATTTCCTGCACAATCTCTGGTCCATTTCTAGTAGTGAACAACGATCCCTGCCATCTAAACTGTCCAGAGATCAGTTATTCACACTGTGCCAGGTCACAATCCCTCTGAACTCAAAGGCTACCATCAACTCTTGGAGTGTGTCCATAGTGTGAATGTGGCTACCTGCTGCAATATTTTGCACATTGAACATCGCAGCATCCTCATCACATACTTCATACTCACAACGTCTCAGGTTCAAGTCCAGCTTAGGGCAGCTGTGAGATCTCTCCCGCTGTCTTTTCTGTCTCTCCAGTGACAAGACTTAAAAACTCAAAATTAATTGTGACTCCAATGCACATGTGTTTGGCAATCAGCTGACTCCAGTGACCCAGGGGAGGTCAAACGTCGGTCAATTCATCCTTGGTTCATGGAGATGGCGTCAGCATCTCGAATGGATGCGGTCACTGTCGCTGATATTGATCTTGTCGTGTTCTTGACCTCTCACGGAGTCCAGCAGGTGTTTTGGATGGAGGTCAGGTCTTCAGATGGACAGGTCAGTGTCTGTGTCAGTGGGTGTGGTCTTTTGGCTCACACTGCCTCCTCTTTCTTCGGGAATGGAGGGCGAGTCACCGTTGAGACTGGGCAGCACACCTGGAACACACACGCACACGCAGGGAGTGAGTACACACACATCAGCTTTCAACAGTGGGTTGTTTTTATTTAAGTGTCACAGAGAGATAAAATCAGTGGTGGAAGAAGTACTGAGATCTTTTACTCAAACATAGTTTTTTATATGTTTTTGAATGGGTATGAAACCGTCTCAATGTAAAACTATTGCCTCTATAAACAAAGATCATCAGCGAGAAGATGGCTATTTCTATTTCTTTCTCTGAACTGTACTGGATTTTATTGGCTATCGTTCTTATCTTTCATCATTGTCTTCCCTCTACCATGTTTTTTTATCTTAATTTTGTCTTGCCTTTGTTTGGCCTCAGTGCCTGGCCCTCTGCCTCCTGACTGCACATTGTAAACTATATAAATAAGTTATTATCATTATTGTTATTAAAATTAAGTTTTACTTACGTAAAACTTAA